TAGTTGTTTTGGGTCTCTCTGTAGTTGTTTGGGTCTCTCTGTAGTTGGTTTGGGTCTCTCTGTTCTCTGTAGTTGTTTGGGTCTCTCTGTAGTTGTTTTGGGTCTCTCTGTAGTTGTTTTGTGTCTCTCTGTAGTTGTTTGGGTCTCTCTGTAGTTGGTTTGGGTCTCTCTGTAGTTGTTTGTGTCTCTCTGTAGTTGTTTTGCATCTTGTTGTGACAGTTTGCGTCTCGTTGTAATTCTGTTGTGTCTCTTTAAGGTTGTGTCTCTCTTTGTAGTCGCTTTGCATCTTGTTGTGGTAGTGTGTGTCTCTTTGGCATAGTTTAGTTTCTTTGTTGATCTTTTGGGTCTCTTTGTAGTAGTTTTGAACGTCTTTCTATATTCCTGTTGTGTGTTTTTGTGGTAGTTTGCCTTTCTCTCCCCTGGGCCCCGGGGCCCCGGAGGCCCCATTCAGTGACCCATCCAGGGGCCCGGCACTCTGGATGCTATAAACTAAATAGATTTTGTTCACTAATGATCAGCTCTGTAGTGTACAGCCGTTGCATCATGACTTGTGACTGAGATTTATGAGTTTACAGTACGTGTTGCCTAATTGTTTCGTGGTCACTAAACTGACCACAGAACAGATAAATAAGCAACACGCTGCACATGAGTCAGCTGCACACAGACGCTTCCTTCTTCTCGACCTTTTTTAGAAATGCATCATTTCTGATGATGCTAATAAAAGACGTTTAAACCGGTCTGATCGCTGCAGGAAATATTCTGAGAGATGTCGAGAGGCTGCCGGCTCTCAGCATGGCAGCAACATTCAGCTCTTTCTCACACGTTTGTGCAGAGTCAGCAGCTTTATGGTCACCAGTCAGTGGATGCAGCTGATAAACATGAACAGCTGTTCGTTGCTCTTATCTCAAGTTCACTTAGTTCCTCTTTCTAGACCAGAACAATGAAGGAGCTTTGGCTTCTTGTAATGTGAGCGCAGTCAAGGAGACTTATCTCTTCTCTGCAAATCATCTTGTTGCTCTCACAATGTGCACGACTCGCCTGACTGAGACAACAAAAGAGTATTTTATGCACACAATATTCACCGGTGTGTGTTTGAGTTTGTATTTCCAGCTGATCTGCAGCTGAACACCGCTGTTGTTCTCGTTCGTTACGTTGCTCGTCTTGAACAGGAGTCATCTTTAGTGTGCGTTACTCATTCACACGCTCATGTGCATAACGCCAGCAGGCATCAGTACGTCTGTACATGCTGTCAAATGCGTTCTGTGTGTGTTCATGTTGCATAACACCTGCTGTATGCCGGCTCCCTTCACTCCTTTTAGAGCACGTAAAAGAGTGTATTTGTAAAGTCAGACGTTCACCTGCGGTCAGAAGTGGATTCAGTGCTTTCACCGCTGTCTTTAGCAGCAACGTGTCCTCTGTAGCTGGATTCTGATTGCATTCATAATATTACTCCAGTTAGGTTATTATTATTATTAATTTTTGTGTTATACAGTAATAACCATGAGGGAGAAGGCCGTCCCCTCTCGGTGAACCTTCAGCGTGTCTGGACCACCGCGCTCCTCTGAAGAATAAACACGTGTCCACTGAGCTCATCCCTCACCCATGAGGGTTAAACATAAAGCGACGCATATCACCAGAGCAAGATTGATCTCATTAAGGATTAATCAGTAGATTATGTTTTTGGTTAATTGTTTAGTCTGTAAAATACTCAAAACATATCAATATGTCCGTCACAATCTCCACGAGCTCATGTTGACGTCTCAAGAAACAGCGAGACGTCCCGTCTAAATAACCGTTAAATGGAAGATATGAAACATGACGGCCTGTATGATGACGTCTGTCACGTGTCTCCGCTGCTGCAGGTGATCGCGCTGGTGATGGACGTGTTCACAGACGTGGACCTGCTGTGTGATCTGATGGAGGCGTCCAACAAGCGCAAAGTCCCCGTCTACATCCTGCTGGACGAGAAGAACCTGGACTGCTTCACAGACATGTGCTCCGCACTCGACATCCAGAGCTCACACATGAGTGTAAGTACTGAGTGTTGCTTCTATCGTTCCATCATTCCCCATGCACAGACACGGACCAGTGAGCAAATGTGACCCTCCAGACCATGATATGTGAGCTCTTAACTGGTCCTGAACCAGTCTCAGTGTAGTCCTGATCCTCTATCAGACCTCCATCAGTAAAGAGACCATCAGAGAGAAGGTGGTCTGTTTCTATAGAGTTATTCTTGGTGCTCGTCATCGGAGCCACCGGGTCGGATTCTGGTGAAACCAGATGAACTCGTGCAGGTTCACCAGAAACTCCTGCAGCTCAGACTCCAGCAGAGACCGGTCCACCGCGGACAGACCCAGATCCTCCTGCAGAGACCAGTCCAAAGTGGACAGACCCAGATCCTCCTGCAGAGACCGGTCCACCGTGGACAGACCCAGATCCTCCAGCAGAGAC